CCTGCCGGGCCTTGCTGGTACCGCAGGAGACTGGTGGACTGGGAATGGAGTGGACTGGGATGAGCTGCGGCAGACCGGGGGAATTGGGATGGACTGGGGTGAGCTGGGGGAGACTGCGGAGATTGGGATGGACTGGGGTGATCTGAGGGAGACTGGGGGAATTGGGATGGACTGGCATGAGCTGAGGGAGACTGAGGGGACTGGGATGGACTGGGGCAAGCTGGGGGAGACTGGGGGGACTGGGATGGACTGGGGAGACTGGGAGGACCTGAAGTGGATGGGGGGGCACCTCTGAAGGACTGGGGCTGCTACCAAGGGAACTGGGCTAGTCTGTCAGACACTGAGGGGGTGCACTGGAGGTGGGATGAGGATATGGGGCTGAGGTGATTAGGGTGGACTGGGATGGGATGGGATGGGGAGACAGAGGAGTGGGAAAGGACTGGGATGGCCTGGGGGAGCAGGGATACTGGGCTGGGATAGACATGGTGGGGTGGGATGGACTGGGGACAACATGGGCTATGGGAAATGGGGTCCCAGGTGCCCCTGGCTCCGGCCCCACGCCCTGGCTCCCATCACACAGCAAACCTCTCCCTCGCAGGACCAGCCCCGCAGTGCCGATGGCCATGCACCGGACCCCACGGCGGCACAGGGCAGCCAGTGTGACAGCCCCAAGCAGCCAGTGGGGCAAGAGAGCCCTGTGCTACAGGTGCCCTCCGCCGTGAAGGTAAGTCCTGAGCCTCCAGGCTGCCCGGGAGAGGGATCAAGCACAGGGAACCTGGCTGTGCTCAAGCCCACATGCTGCACCCCACGTGTGTGGGAGCTCTGGGCGGTTGGCCTCAAAGGCTTGGAATAATGCAGGGAGTCAAAACTTCTTGTCCCAAACTGTAATTTGATTCACTTCGTAACAGTAAGTGGTATCTTGCTAGAGGCGACTGCTCAGGTTCTGCACTGCAAATGTCCCCTGGGGCTAGGAGCAGGAGGAGGTAAAAGACAACACTGAAACGCCTTCATAGAATCATAGAGTCAACTGGGTTGGAAAAGACCTTTAAGCTCTTCAAGTCCAACCATTCCCAGCAGTGCCAAGGCCACCACTAACCCCTGGCACTGAGGCCTTGGCTACCCGGGGTGTGAACACTTGCAGGGACGGTGACTCCAGCACTGCCCTGGGCAGCCTGTTCCAGTGCCTGAGCACCCTCTGGGCAAGGAATTGTTCCTCAGCTCCATCTAAACCTGCCCTGGTGCAGCTTGAGGCTGTTTCCTCTTGTCTTCCAGGCAAGGAGGGTCATTCTTCATCTCATGTGCTCTCCCACGCAACTGAGATGGGGTGAGGGCCTGAGGGAGTCCTCTACATGCAGGCTGAGCAGCTCTTGGAGCTGGAGTGTCAGGGTGCTGGCAGAAGCTGCCGTTGTTCTGCTCCAGGCTTCTGAGTTCCCACAGAGGTGGCAGGAGCTCTTGTCCCAGCTAATTCCTTTCCTTCTTGGACCAACAGTCCAAATCATCCAGTGACAGCAAGAACCGTCACAAAAAGCCCAAGGACACCAAGCCCAAGGTGAAGAAGCTGAAGTATCACCAGTACATCCCTCCAGACCAGAAGGCAGAGAAGTCCCCTCCACCCATGGATTCTGCATATGCCAGACTCCTCCAGCAACAGCAGCTCTTTCTGCAGCTCCAGATCCTCAGCCAGCAGCAGCAGCAGCAGCACTTCAGTTACCCAGGGATGCACCAAGGCCAAGTAAAGTGAGTAGCAATATGCCAGTAGCAGGGTTTAGTCCTGTCTCTCCAAATTGTTCCCTCTGTACCCATTTGTGCCAGTGCAAGGGGGATAGATGCATGCGAGTGAAACAGAATCATAGAATCACAGACTGGTTGGAAGGGACATTAAATGTCATCCAGTTCCTGGGCAGGGACACCTTCCACCAGGTTGCTCCAAGCTCCTGTGTCCAACCTGGCCTTGAACACTGCCAGGGATGGGGCAGCCACAGCTTCTCTGGGCACCCTGTGCCAGCACCTCAGCACCCTCACAGGGAAGAACTTCTGCCTTATATCTAACCTGAACTTCCTCTGCTTCAGTTTGAACCCATCACCCCTTGTCCTGTCATTCCAGTCCCTGATGAAAAGTCCCTCCCCAGCATCCTTGTAGCCCCCTTCAGACACTGGAAGGTTGGGAACATAAAAGCTTGGAAACAGCACAGTCTCCTGCAAAGCCAGCGTGGCGTTGTGCACTGGCTGGGCCACCCGAAATCTCCTTACAGCCCAACCTGGTTCTCTTTGGGGTTGGCAGTCTGTCAGGTCTCATATGGGAGGTGGCAGCCCCAAGGGAGCAAAGAGATGGTATGCTGGGCACAGAGACCCCGTGGGATAGATAAGTTACCCCAAATCTCCTTTGTTATTCCAGGCAGTCAAATGAGCAAATGGTCAAAAGTTCAAATTCTTCATCAACTTCTGTCAACACCACCCCTCTTTCTCCTGTGAAAACCACCTTTTCAGGCCAGACTTGTGTCTCATCAATCAAGCCAGGCCCTCTGCCATCAAACCTGGATGATCTGAAAGTGAGTGCAAAGTTTGTCACCACAGGAGCAGAATCTTATCCCCTGTATGTGCTTTGCAGCCCTCGAAGTGTGCATTGTAGTGCCACAGGCTGATGAGCAAAGCAGAGGCACCACGCTGTGAGCAAACCCAGGAGTACATCACATTGGGTCAGGAATTTGTTACTGTGATGGCAACTGAAAACATGGTTTGCTGCTCTGCAGGGGCACATGGGTGCCTTGCTCCAGGGAATGTATCAGCAAACCTTAGGTATAATTCAGGAGGGCTGCAGGCCAGGCCACCAGGTCAAAGACTTAAAGGACAATCTGTGCTCCTGCAGCTCACAGCTCCATGCCTTCTGTGGGTTTATGGTGGCCATCATGGATGCTACTGGCAGACCAGCCAGGAGGTAGGATGTCAGCATGGCCTCCTCTTAGTGACTTAGCTTCTCAGTCGTCACTGCAAGCAGGCGAGCTCAGCTCTCTGCACAAGCAGGTATCTCCTGGACTCTGCAGGTATGAGCACTACGAGCATCTAAATCTCTCATGTAGGCATGACAAGCAGGGCATGAGTGAGAATCACTTATATCTACAATTCTTTTATAGTTTTAGTCTTTTATACTTTTCTACTCAGCCATGAGGAAAGCCAAGTCCCTTTAGAACTAAAGACCTGGGGGCAATATTCATAATTAGAAGAAATAAGGTGAGGTAGAAATAACATCAGTTTGGCCATAGTGATGCCCCAGCTCAAATGTCTGAACTGTGTGCACCTCTGTGGTCCAAGGACCACATGGAGAGGAGTCACAGTTCTTTTCCTGTTAGGAAAGGTCAAGATCCTGCAGGATGTGGAGTGGTCAGGGTTGTACAGGGTGATTCTGGTGACTGGAGGTGAGACAGTGAGCCCCTGGGGGTCAGAGCTATAAAGCAGGAAGCTGGGAGCCCATGATCTGAGACTCCTTGTTAGAAATGTTGGGTTTCTAAAAGGATCATCTTCCTCCCAGGTGTCAGAACTGAGGCAGCAGCTCCGAATACGAGGCCTGCCTGTGTCGGGTACCAAAACAGCGCTGATGGAACGGCTGCGGCCCTTCCAGGAGTGCAGCAGCAACACAGTGCCCAGCTTCAGCGAGATCACCACCGTCACCTTCCCAGTCACTCCAACCAGCACCCTGTCAAGTTACCAGTCGCAGTCCTCTGCTAGCATGTTATCCAATGGCTTCTACCACTTCGGCAGCACCAGCTCCACACCACCCATCTCTCCAGCCTCCTCCGACCTGTCTGTGAGTGGCTCTTTGCCAGACACATTCAACGATGGGCCCGTGTCTTCTCCACAGTTTGGTCTCCAGCCATCTCCAGTTCATGGCAGTGCCGAAGAAAGCCTCATGAGCAGCATGAATGGAGGAAGCATCCAGCTGGAGCTGGAAGGGATCGACACAGAGAAAGACAAAATGCTGGTGGAGAAGCAGAAGGTCATCAATGAACTAACGTGGAAACTGCAGCAAGAGCAGAGGCAGGTGGAAGAGCTACGAATGCAGCTCCAGAAGCGAAAAAGAAACAATGGCCTCGAGGAGAAGCAGCAGCCCGCTCCTCATTTCTTTGGTGTCCCCATCAAGCAAGAAAACACAGTGTCCAGCTGTCCATTTGCATCCAAACAAACTGCCTTGAAAGGCCAAGCCAGCAGCTCTGATAAGTTAAGTAACTGTGGGGTGCCACAGCTGCCTCACATTGTAAATAGCCACTGCTTGGAGCCTGCAGGGCAAAGCACCATCACCTCCTCGACATTCCTGAGCCCGCAGTGCTCCCCCCAGCACTCCCCACTAGGGGCTGCAAAGAGCCCCCAGCCCGCCCCCCCGCCCCACCGCCCCCCCCCCCCCCCCCACCAGCCACTATCTCCTCTCAGTGTCCCCCAGCTCAGAAGGGCGCAGTGGGTCCCCACAGGCCAGCAGTTGCCTTCGCACAGCACCGGTAAGTGGATACACCCCATGGCAGCAGTGAACACGCTGGGCTCTGTGAGCAGCCGGTCAAACATCCCAGTCTGAGTCCATCTCGATCAGCCCGGGAGCACCCAGGGGACTGTAGTGCTGCCTGGAAAGGCTGAGAGAATCCCACATTGACAATGGGTTGGATGCTGATGGCACCACAGGGTCCTTTGCAGGGCATCTTCTGGGGAACCCTGCTGCCACCTAGGGGGCCACAGCACAGCTCCCATGCCCCATAGAGCCCTGGCACAGCTCCCTCTGCCCTGGGGGAGCCCTAGCACAGCTTCCCTCTTCCCCAGGGGACCCCAGCATCGATCGCTCTGCCCCTGGGTGAGCACTGGCAAAGCTCCCTGTGTCCTGGGAGAGTCCTGGCAGAGCATCCTCTGCCCCAGGGAGCCCTGGCACAGCTCCCTCTGCCCCTGGAGGAGTCCTGGCACAGCTCCCTCTGCCCTGGGGGACCATTGGCACAGATTCTTCTGCCCTAAATGAGCCCTAAGTCATCTGCCTCTCCCCTCAGGAGGCCCTGGCACAGCTTGTGGTGCCCCTGGGAGAATCCTGGCACAGTTCCCCCTGCCCCATGGAGCCCTGGCATGGCTTTCTCCACTGTAGGGAAGCTCTGGCACAGCTCCCCCTGCCCCATGGAGCCCTGGCACAGCTCTATCCACAGCAGGAAAGCACCAGCATAGATCCCTCAGCCCCTGGGAGAGCCCTGGCTAAATTCCTACATCCAGATAAGCTCCTAGCATCTTCCCAAGCCATTGCAGCTCCTAGCAGTGAGCGAGGGATTTCGACCACTGGGTTGAAGGAGAGCGGTTACCCTGGTCATATGGGAAGCCCTTTCTTGGGAACATAGAGCAGGGTTTGCAATTGGGGTCTGCAGTCAGCTAGAGCATGTGCCTCCCCACCAGGCAACCAGCACAGCAGAATTGTCCCTTCAGCATCCACCACTCCTCACTCAGCCTTCTGGACAGGGACAAAAGCTTGGAGAGGGCACACGCTGCCAACACATGAAAGCAGCACAAGGTGTTGCTGACCCCAGCCCCAGTTCATCCCCATTTCTCTCTTCCTCTTGCACCAGGATGCTCTGCAGCATCGTGCCTGTGCTCCAGCAGTGACCAGAGGTCAGCCTGGCCCTGGTTCTCAGAACTAGCCCGATGGAGCTGGTTTACCTTCCTCCCTCCTGCCTGGAAGCCAAGCACTTTGAGCTGATTTGACCCACAAACGTGTGTTTCCCTGGCACCAGACTGGCCTCACCAGGGGTGAAAGAGAGCTGGGCCTCCCTGTGCACTGACTCCATTTCCCTGTATTTCCCCATGCAGATGCCTACGCAGGCAGGTCAAAAGTTTTCTATTCCATCCCCAACTTTTTGTAAGTCAAGCCCAGCCCTCTCAGAGGTAAAGCAGCCTCCACCCTATGAGGATGCAGTAAAGCAGGTAACTGCATGGTTTTTATTTTCTATAAGGCTAGGGCTGTGCAGGGTGTTCTTTTGTGGTTGATGTAACTCATCCTCAGGAGGTATAACCCATTATGGGGTCTCTGGGTAGAACAGGCTTGTTCCCATAAGGTACAGGGTTTTCTTGAAGACTTAGATGCTGAATGACTGCCATAAAGCAGTCAGACACCAGACTGGATGGGACAGCATCTTCTGTCCTGCTCCAGCTACCCTGGGGCCCTGACATCCCCCACAGACACCCAGGACTTCACTGTACTTTTCTTTGGGTGCCCAGTGCAATGTGAGAAACAGACTCTTGAGCATTCCCAAGTCACCAGGAAACTTCCCTCTTTAGCCCATTAGCAAAGTTCCCTGCTCCATGCCATCTGCATCCCTTTGCCTCACCCTGGAGCACTGTTCCCAAGGTGAGGACTGTCTCCATCACCCATGAACCCCTTACTTCTTGTGACAACCTGTCTGCAGCCTCAGTGCTGGTCATGATGGTGCCTTCAGGACAGTGGAGCAGTGCTGTTGGCAGTGATTAACATGGGCTGATGCTGGCAGGGAGGAGTGCACAAAGTCCTTCCAGTCTCCGGTCAGGAAGAGAAGGAAGATGATGAGTTGCCCCCCGGGCTGCAGGGAGTGCAAGGAGGCACATGCGAGTGCAAGGTGCTGGGTCCATAAAGTCCCTGTGTCCTGACAGCCCTGGGAAGAAGCAGTGTGTGGTGGCCACTGAGCAGGGTGGGGGGAACCCGGCACTGTGCTCCCCAGATCTACTGTGCTTGTCCCATGTCCCTGCAGTGCTCACCTGAATGCTGCTGCCAGCCCCGTGTTGGTGTGGCTCCTCTCCTCTCCATATGTCTGAGGGGTCTAGAGCCACTTACCTGGCTTGTGGCTGGAGGGACTATCCTCCTAATGCCCTCTACTCTCCTCTTTGTTGTTTGCTGCAGCAGATGACACGAAGTCAGCAGATGGACGAGCTCCTGGATGTGCTGATTGAGAGTGGAGGTATGCACTGCTTCCCTGTTCCCCTCCAGGCCTTCCCCTTCGAGCCAGTGGCACTCCATGGGGCTCAGTGTTCTCTGTGCACTCCAGTAGAGCTGCCTGGGTTGAGTACAGCTTTCATTTGCCCTCCCTGTGTCAGCAGGCACTGAGTTTGAATGCAAAACATATTGGCCCTCCTGGAGCCTGCTGCTGTGGACCTGGTGGGGTGGTCCGGGCTTGGTTTCCACCTATGCAGAGAGAAGGGACAGCACGGCAGCAACCTGTGCACAGCACTTCCAGCACCCTCACCATGCAGAGCCTTCTCCTGCCCCCCACCACTCGCAGTGCTGCCAGTGCCATCTCCTGCATAGAGCACTGCCAGTGCCCTGCCCTGTGCAGAGTGGTTCCTCATGCACAACCCATGCCCATGGAGACAGCTGCCAGTATTTATGCCCTAGGGACAGCGTCCAAAGCCAGGGGAGCCAAGGTCAGAAAGCAGGAACCTGCAAGGCTTCCCAAAAGGAGGGTGGGTGAGCAATGCCAAGCGAATTGAGTCGGGAGCAGGTCTCCATAGGCTGAGTGATGCCCCTGTGCCCAGCAGTGGTGGGCACTGCCAGAGCACCTCAAACCCCTCACATTTGTTGACAGAAATGCCAGCCAATGCCAAGGAAGATCAGTCCTGCCTCCAGAAAGTACCTCAGATAACGGTGTCTACAGGGAACTCCAGCGCTGCGCTCCCCAAGTCATCCGCCCCATTTGAGCAGGTCTCCTCAACCCAGCTCGCCTTCGAGCACTGTCCGGGCAGCGGTGATGCTCACCTCGAGGTGCTGCTGAGCGCCCACAGCCCCCTGGGCAGGGTCAGTGAAATAGCCCTGCTGAAAATGGGGGGAGAGGAGTCCCACTTCGAAGGGATGATGGAGGGGTTCCCCGGCAAAGCCACTGATGAACTGCTCCCCTCTCAGGAGATCTTACAGCCTCCCCTCTCGCCCATGGACACCCAGCTCTCCCCTTCCCCTGCCGACGGCACCGGTTTACAGATGAGCTTCACTGAGTCTCCATGGGAAACAATGGAGTGGCTGGACCTGACCCCCCCCAGCTCCGCCACCGGCTTTGGCTCGCTCACCCCCGTGGGTCCCAGCATCTTCAACATTGATTTCCTAGACGTTACCGATCTCAACCTAAACACCAGCATGGACCTGCACCTGCAGCAGTGGTGAGAGAGAGGGTGGTGGAGGCAGGATACAGCAGCCAGCAAAGTGTTTCTGTCATGCCAGAGAACACACGGGGCAAAAGTGCCACATCCAGGGGAAACTGGAGTCATTTTCCCATATATAATTTCCCATATACAAACTGTCTGAATTTCCAGTTACAGCCAATCAACAGCACAGTTGCCCTGGTACTTTGGTTTTCCTGCATTGACACGTCCCCACAGAGGACAGCAGTGCCTTTAACACTTCTTTAGATTGAAAAGAATTTCAGTTCTATTTCTTTTCTCTTTCTCCCCTCCCCAGTTTTAGCAGCCACTCTTGTGAGAACTGGAGCAGCTCATAACAAAACTGTGTGATGAGGAGACCTGACCTCAATGGCAACAGGAAATTTTGGAGAGGATAGCCTATTGCTGCCCTCTACTCCTCTTTCCTCTCCTTCTGTCTGCCTAGCCCTTTAGGCAATCCTGCTGGGCTCATCTTGGCCATGCCCAGGCAGGGATGTGGGATCAGGGAGGCTCTGCCCAGCCAGGGTGACAAGCACACTTCTCCATACAGCCAGGCACACCTTGCCTCCTGCCTCCTGCCCCAGCACTGTGTTGCCCAGTCCCTGCACAGCTCTGCTCCATATGGATGAGAGGTGGAGACCCCCCATGTTTGTGGTGGCACCTTGTCATGTCCTCATGGTGCCTGAGGGGCAGAAAGCCCAGGAGCTGTCCTGGCTGCAGTCTGAACTGAATCAGGCTGGAGCCTGTGAGCTCTGGATGTTGGAGGCAGCTGCTCAGACTGCACGTGCAGGTGTCAAAGGGATGTGGCATCCCAGTGGAGCTGCTGCATCCCAGCTAGTACGGTACAGATGAAGAGATATGTAATGTGTTTTGGTCCAAGGTAGGAGCAAGTCGTATAGAGAATACAGCCAGGCTTTGGAGGGGCTGTCCTTTGCACAGCCAGAAGTCAGGATGGATCTCCACCACTTCACATGACCTGGGAGCAGGGAGAGCCAGAAACGGACACTTGGCACATGGGGCAGGGCAGAACGGGTCCTCGTGGGGCTGCGGTTCTGTGTGAGCATCTGCTGTTCTTGCCTCCACTCCTCAGCCATCCATCCCTCCGTTCTTCCCATCCCTCCTCGATCCCCATCAGTCATCCCCCGGTTCCCAAGTTTACTCCAGCGTCACTGCTTACTCAGCCCTGAGCAAGGCCACCCGGAGAACGGCTGTGAATCACTGAGGCCAGAGGAGCTAGTTTTCCTGAAGCTGGCAGAGCTGGATGCTCTCCTGCAGTGATGCCTCCCATTTGAAGTCACCAGCATTTCTCCTACGAGTCTCTGTGCAATATATTTCCTCAGGCTCTGGAGAGAAGGAGCCTTTGCTTCACTTCTTGGCTTCCACCAAAGAACTTGCTGCGGACTTGTTTGATGGACATGTCTACTTCTTTGCAGTTCTGGTTTTGCCAAAGTAAATATTGTTGCTGACAAAGATTGTTAAACTATTTACAGACTGAGCATATTTAATATTTGTGTTACTGGAAGGACAGCACATCAGAGGTGCAGCAGCTGGGGGGAAACCAGCCATGTCTCCCATGGGATGCACCCCCAGGGATGCTGGAGCTGTTGAGGAGGCTCTGCAGCCCCTGCTGTGCCTCCAGCTCATGGTGTTGTTGCATGCTGTATAAAGCACATGGCAGTAGCTCTCAAGTCACTATTTAAAGCACCACTTTTCTATTGTACAAATGATCACAGTGCACTGCTGGGGTAGAGGGTCACGGGTTGCATTTTTTTAAAGAATTCCTTTTTCTAAGTGAGAGGTTTTCCCAAGCCAGTCCCTGGAGAGTATCACCAGCGTTTGAACCAGAGTAGTGTTAGCTGCTGCACTGCATCATTGTACAGGCCTGTCCAGATAACTTCCTCCTCTGAGCAAATGTATTTCCTTATTTAAAGGGATGCTGTCAGCTTCAAACTTGTAAGCAAGCACATTTCCTTACCTATGTTACCAGCAACACCTTCATTATTAAAACCCTTTTGTCTTGACACTCTTGTTTGCTTTTTGATTTCACCATTTGGCATCAGCCCCATTCCCTGGGTCAGCTCAGTCCTTGCAAGAGCAGAAGCATTTCTTTCACAGCAACAGTTTCTCCTGGAAGATTCCTGAACAAGCTGACTGGGGCCTCCTGTTTCTGAAGGCCTTTTATTCTGATGGCTTTGGTTTCACTTTGCTCTGTAAACCTCAGGTCAGTGTCCTGACCAGCACCCTGCCCAAACCCTTTGTAAGTTCCATTTACCCGTTAGTGTCATTTTCCAGATTATTCTTCTTAAGAAAGGGTTCGCAGGACATTCACTCCCTGTCTGCAGGGGAGGACGGTGGGATGAATCTGAGACACTGCAGAAGTGAATCTGAGATGCAGATGAAAAACTCTGTTAAACATGTTCATGTTTGAATCTAACACATAAATGTGTTTAACATCTTTAGAGACTTTAAGATGTTCATGGACAAGGTCCTATAAACATTTTTAAGTCTCTAAACCACAGCCTGCAACCAAGTGTGCTGTGATAAACAGCCTGGACTGAGCCAAGCTGTCAGCAAAACCTCCACCTTGGACTTCCAAAGGGCTGACGTTGGCCTGTTCAGGATGCTGGTTGGCAGAATTCCTTGGGAAACATTACTGACGGACAAAGGGGTCCAGGAAGGCTGGATGCTCTTCAAGAATGGAATCCTTAAGGCACAGAAGTAGGCAGTCCCTATGTCCAGGGAAGAGATCAGCCTGGCTGAACAGGGAGATAGTGCTGGAAAAGAGAATTTGTCACCAGTGGAAGAAGGGACACTCACCCCATGAGCAGTACAAGGATGTTGTTAGGATATATAGGGAGAAAGTTAGAAAGGCGAAGGCACAGCTGGAACTCAATCTGGCCACTGCCATAAAGGATCATAAGAAGTACTTTTTCAAATATATTAGCAATAACAGGAGGGCCCAGGAGAACTCTGCTGGATACCTAGTGACTGACATGGGGGAAAGGCTGAGGTATTTAATGCTGCCTTTGCCTCAGTCTTTAATAGTCACATCAGCCATCCTGAGGGTACTCAGTCCCCTGAGCTGGATGGCAGAGATGGGAAGCTCACTGAAGTCCCCATAATGCAGGAAGAAATGGTTAGAGATCTCCTGCTCCACTTAGATATACACAAGTCTATGGGGCTGGATGGGTTTCACCAGAGTGCAGAAGAACCTGGCAGAGGAGCTCACTAAGCCACTCTCCATCATCTATCAGCAGTCCTGGTCTCGTGGGCAGGTCCCAGAGGACTGGAGGTTGGCCAATGTGATGCCTCTCTATAAATAGGGTGGGAAGGAAGACCCTGGGAACTCCAGGGCTGACAGCCTGAGCTCAGTGCTGGGGAAGGTCATGGAGCAGATGATCCCAAGTGAGATCATAAAGTAAGTGTGGGAAAATGGAGGGATCAGGCCCAGTCAACATGGGCTCATGAAAGGCAGGTCCTGCTTCACCAACCTCGTCTCCTTCTACAGTAAGGTGACCCACCTGGTTGATGAGGGAAAGGCTGTGAACATTGCACATTGTGTATTTGGATTTAAGTAAAGCATTGGACATTGTCTCCCACAGTGTTCTCTTGGAGAAACTGGCTGCTCATGGCCTGGAGAAGAGGATTCTTCGCTGGGTTGGAAAGTGGCTGGATGGCCAAGCCCAAAGGAGGCTGCTGATTGACGGAGCTG